TCGCAACTGCATAAGCTCATATGAGCGCGCGGGACAAATTAAACTTTTTCAGTTGGTAGGAAATTTTGAATTTTGCCTGGGTGGCGGACAAAGCTTACTCTTAGTCTTATCCATTTTAGACCACCAAGGGATTTTAACGTGCACAACTTGCACACGGGCCCTCCGAGATTTTTCGACCTTGTCCGAGAGGGGTGTGTGTAGATCTTTCCTACCAGGAGATCAGGGTTGTGGCGGAAAGACAGCAGTATGAAGGAGCCAAGGAGTAGCAGTAGAAAGGCTGCAGAAAGAGTTAGGAGCCCAGAGGAGGGGGGGAGGTGAGGGGGTGGGGGCAGAAAGAGGAGACGAAAGCAGACGATAGAACATTGCTAGAGAACAGGAAAGGAGGTGAGAGGAGACCATTTTAGAGAAGAAAATTGTTCGTTCTCTACCCGGATTCGAAACCGAGACTTTTGAATGAGAGGCGAACACCTTAACCTCTAGACCACGAGAACCCCCCTCCCCCTCCCCCCTGATTGACTTTACAGAGTTTGGGGAATATAACAATATCATTATGTACGTGTTATCTGCTTGAGCGAGTCCAACTGTGTGTGTGGGGGTGATTGGCGGGTGTTGTGCTGTCATTTGCTCCTTCTTTTCTGGTAAAAATACGGTATTTTATAGTCCGTATTTCTCCTCCTTCTGTTCTTTGTTGTTACGTTCTAGCAGTAGCACTTCTCATTTCCGGCACTTATATGACCTATTTGTGTTGCAAGTGCCGTAAAACTCTTAATAAAGCTTCTTTTTTTTTTTTTAACCTGTAAACAAAGTATGTGAATGTGAAATACATCTCTTAGTTTGACCTTTGCGAAACACTCGTTCCCCGCAGAAATACAACAGAGCGCAGAAATTAAATGTAAGTTCTCCCGTAGATATTGTTATTACGCCAAAGATCTCCTGTCATTCAAAAATCCTTTACTTTCCCAGTAAATATTACCTGAAATCCTGCTTGGTTCAATCAGAGACTTTACGGTAATAAAACCCTCTCTGGGTAAATGTTTGGACTTCCACGAATGAAGGCGTGCATACATACATGTAATATGATTTGACGTTGGTTGTGGTGTGTCAATACATATAAGAAAAGGATACTCAGAGACCAGGAAAAATGTCGGTTTGGCCGGTCGATCAGTCGGACTCTGTCTTTCCCCAGGTCCTCAAGTCGCCGGGAACGTCTGGATTTTGGCGCGGGTGCTTCTGGGACATATTTATGTCAACACACGTAAGAGCTAAGTCGTCACTGTTTTTATCTTTTGTCGGTTTAGAAATATATGTATTTGTACAGGTGATTGTCTTATTCTTAGAAATATATGTATTTGTACAGGTGATTGTCTTATTCTTAGAAATATATGTATTTGTACAGGTGATTGTCTTATTCTTAGAAAT